TCCTGGCTAACATGGTAAAACCCCATCTCTACTAGAAGTCCAAAAAAAAATTAGCCACGCATGGCGGCGAGTGCCTGTAGTCCCAGCTATTCGGGAGGCTGAGGCAGGAGAATGGCTTGAACCCGGGAGGCGGAGTTTGCAGTGAGCCGAGATTGCACCACTGCACTCCAGCCTGGGCGACAGAGCGAGACTCTGTCTCAAAATATAAATAAATAAATAAATAAGTTAGCATTATGTACCCAGTATATAATCAAGCAAAGAAAACACCACAAATATGTTTTAAAAACACACAAACAAATACAACTACACACAAATTAAAGTATAAATAATTGATTTTGGGACCCCCGGCTTCTTGCATTTCCGTAAGCCCTGCAAGAGAGACATCGATTATTCTTTTTGATAAACTATCTTTCCAAGGATGTTTGTAAAGCAAACAACCTTGGAAGATAAGAGATAGGGTCTCCTTCCATAGTAAAGGGCAAGCATACTTAGTGTCCTAACGTTATTAAAAAAACTTGATTCTCTAAGCTCAGGGTTCTTTTCCTATAATAATACAACCCTCTTCATGTCATGCTGTAGAAATTGGGATTCAGGAAACTGGCACAAAAATAGTAATACAGTAATTCCCCCTCTCGTCAGGGGATACATCCCAAGTTCCCCAGTGGATGCCTGAAACCGTGGATAGTACCAAACCCTAATGTAATATGTACTGTGTTTTTTTCTACCTGATAACTGAGATGGTTACTAAGCGACTAACAGGCAGGTTGTGTATAGAACATGGATATGGATATGGATATGGATATGGACAAAGAGATGATTCACCTCCTGAGCAGGACTGAGCAGGATGGTGTGAGATTTCATCACGCCACTCAAAACGGCACACAATTCAAAACTAATGAATTATTTCTAAAATTTTCCATTTAATATTTTTGGATGGTGGTTGACTGTAGGTAACTAAAGCTGTGGAAAATGAAATTGCAGATAAGGGGGAGACTTATTCTGGATCCTGCAACTGTTGTAATAAACTGTCTTTGACCTGTAACCCAGGAGTCTTACCTCTCCTACCAACATCTACAAAATTCTGACAAATTCACTATTATCTTGTCCTAAGAATGAAATCTCAGATCCTTCGTAGTTCCTGACAACTGCACTTTTAAGTTTTGAAAGTTTTATACGAGTACATAAATATGTGAATAAATGCAAACAAAAAGTAATTTGTAATTTGATATTTACCTGGAAAACTGCAACTTAGATTTAAAAAATCAGAACGAATAGAGAAACATAATAATTAATGTAGCCTAAACACATGTAAATGCTTATAAACATCTATGCTGATTCTCATTAGTTATGGTAGGTATGTTCTACAAAGTTGCCATGAACATTGAATACAAAACCATTGCTCCTAGAGGAAATACAGGGTTAGGTTCCTGAGAGCATCTGAACTTCTGTTTTGTGCGTGTTTCTGTTTAAATACACATTACTTAATATATATTTTTTACAAATGATTATTTGCATGGTCTTTGAATGACTCAAACCAGGGGCTTTGGAGGCCATATGTGTTCTGTAGGTTTGTTTGCCAATATTCTTGTTTAACAAGCCAATCCCATTGGCATTGAAAACCACTCTTCTACACAACCCCTTTCCTATATAACACTTAAAAGGTATTTTTAAAATTCTTCGGAAGACTCCTGATCGGGAGAACCTGCATTGCATGCAAGTTTAACATTTTTCATGCCATGCTGCCTTTTGAAATGTGCAAGTCAGCCAGCACTAGCTGATACAACCTTAATATTTTCCTAACCCAGAGTAACGTGACTTTGGCTTTCCTCAACAATGCTGTCCACTATGCTTTATTGATCGTCATTTCATGAATCCACCAACGTAGCTGCTTTCTCATCTCTTCCATAGCTTCAAGACTATAAATGCTTTCTGTAGTTTCTAAAGCAGCCTTGTGCACATATTGGCAAATTTCCTTCTTTTTCTGGTTGTACCATAATTCTGATGCATAACATTGAACTTACAGCCAACAGCATTGTAACTCAGATAACCAACAAGGTTTATCTGCCTTGTATTTTCTCCGTAAGGCACAACATGGCCTTCTCACACTCAGAACACTAAACAGCACCTCAGCACTACACTTGAGGACTATTTTAAAAAGCAAAATCACCAACAAAACATACAAAAATTAGAAAAATGTGACACTAAACAGACCACGAAAAGGACACTTGTTTACAGTATTAAAGCTGAAATAAAAAGGGCTCCTTCAGTCTCAGCTAGAAACACATGCATTGAGTGACAGTTTTTCACTGCTCTGTGCATGTCCTTCAATAATCACAAATGCACTGTGAGTAGTGACTTTTAAGTTACAAATACTGTATTAAGTAGGTGAAATTGCAAACATAAAATCCGCTAATAACGATTAACTGTGCATAATTTAAACTCCATCCATAAATTTAACCGCACTATTTGATTTTACCCTAAGAGGCTCTACCCCACCCCCACTCTGCCCACAACCCACCCAGTACCTCTGGTAATAGGTGTCTGAGCGTCCACAGGTGGCCCCTGACTTGCGAAAGACTTCACGGCGCTTCCAGCCAGGGCCCAGGGCCGGGCAGTCCAGCCAGTCCTCAGCCATGGAGACCACAGAAAGCAGCAGTAGCCTGAAAGGGGGTTGAGGGGATGAGGGAAACTGAGGCTCTAGGAAGGGACAAAATGTGCCCCAGGCCACACAAATCACTGGTATCCATTAGTGCTTGCCCAAGACCTAGGACCTGCCGCAGGCAACCAGCCCATATATGGAGAAGAAACCCCTCATATTCTCACCCCATTCTTTCCTATTCTGGGCCTAGGAGATCCTCATTCCTCAACCCAAGGATCCCTGTTTATTATTCTTAGTGTCCTAATCCCCTACTCCTCTCTATCCTCAGACTGACAGCCCATCATTTCTCCTCACTGCCAATCCAGAAACTTTTCATCTTCCCCCCTCATTCCTCCCTGTCACTGACCTAAGGGCCTCTATCCCTCTATTTTATCACCACAAGACCCCCATACTTCCCATCCTCAGCCCCAAAGGGCCCCATTTCTCTTGCCCTCACTACTTGGCTTCAGTAGTCTCTCATTCCCCCCTTCCCCGACCCAGGAGTTCCTAATTTCCTTCCTTCAGTGTTTTAACCATTCCATTCCGTCTCTGCCTGATGTCCTCTTATCTTGCTACCTCAGTGTTACAACCTCGACTTCCTCTGCGAGACACAACTGCTCCAACCCATGACCCGAACAGCCCCTCATCTTTTCCATTTCTCACACACTGGAAGCCTCCCATGCCTCCCCTTCCTCAGCCCAAGAGCTCCCCCCTTATTTTTCTTCTCCTTCAATGTTCTGGCCCACAATTTCTCCCCAGTCTCAGCCCCCAAACCTTCCTGTTTCTCTCCTCTACATCCAAAAAATTCCCCACTTCTCCCTCTCACTGTTCTCATTCTCCATTCCTCCCTTATCCTGAGAGACCCTAATTTCTCCCCTCAGCATTCCGAACCCTCCCCCATTCTCTGTTCTTGTCCTGGGATCATGCCATCCCTAACTGTCAGCGTTCTGATCCCCTACTGCTCCTCATCCTCTATATGGGGCCTCCCATTCCTCCCTTTCAGCATTCCAACGCCTCCATTTCTCCTGTCATCAGCCTGGGGGCCCCTCATTTCTCCCGCTCGGAGTTCTGAACCCCCATTTCTCTCTCAACTTCAGATGCCCTGATGTCTCCCTTTAGCGTTCTGATCTCCACCATTCCTCTCCGTCCTCGTCCCAGGATCCCGACACTCCTACCTGTCAGAATTCTGAGCTCCATTCCTTCCTGTCCTCAGCCTAAATTCCCCCGTTTCTCCTCGTCAGTATTCCGACGCCGCCATTCCTCCCCCTCATCGGCCTGAGGGCCCTTGATTCCTCCCCGTCAGCGTTCTCAGCCACAATTCCTTCCTATCCTCCGCCTGAGCACTCTCCACGTCCAGCCCCAAGGCTGTCTCACCAGTTTGGCACCAGGCCGGTATCTTCCGCCACTCTAGGCCCGTGGACCCATGGCGAGGGTCCCTCCTGCGCCTCTCGCCTCGCCCTCCTCCCCTTCTTCCTCCTCCGCGGCCGCCTCCTCCGAAGCGGTAGCTGTCGCCTCCGCGGCTGTTCGTTGCTCCCGGAACCGGAAGTCCGCTGCCTTCCTCTCGGGCTCCGCCTCTGGCTAAGCACCTGCGCGCTATTGCCTCGACGTCGCGTGCCCTTAATAGGGAGGCTCCCGCGCCTGCGGGCTGGCGCTCTGCACTGGGGCGCGCGCTCCCCTGCCGAAAACCAGTTGCATCTGCGTGCTGACGTTCAACGACAGCTCGTGCCCCATCGAAGGAGGGACCTGCACTCGGGGCTCTGCTCGCTGACCATCTAGCTTGCGCATGCGCTCTCCAGTCTCAAACTGAAGGGAAGCCGTCGGGGAGGGCTTGCGCCTGCGCCCTCCCTTCCCTCCCGCGGTCTCCGAGGCGGATACCCACAGCGGCGAGGAAGCTGCTTCGCGCCTGCGCACTCGCTGACCCAGCCGGCGCTCTCTTCTCCCATCTCTCGCTGGGGTCTATCCTGTGCTCGCCGGTCCCTCCGAACATCAACCCCAGGGCGGTCGTGTCCCGCTTCCTCCTCCCCGCCGAACAGGTGCTGGAGCGCGCGGGACGGGGAAAGGGGCGGTGACGCACCGCAGGTAAACTGAGGCACGCGGGAGGGCGCGCCCCTGCAGGAGGCGAATCCCCAACGTGGGGCTTGTGGGGAAAAGGCGGGGCCTGGCGTCCACAGTGGAGGACAGCTCTGGGTGGGAGACAGGAGCACGCGTGGGCGGTGTCACCACACTGAATACGTGCTGCGTAGACCCTCTGCCTGTGGGAGGCTGGGAATGTGGGTCCCTGGGCCCTCCCGGGGTGCAGGCGCCCCCCATCTTATCCAGGAGTCTGGAACAGTTGCAACCGCAGCAATGTGGACACAGCTTCCTTGGTTTCTTCAAAATTTTATTAACAAAACCCAGGGAGAGGAGGCAAGGATGAGTGGACTCCGGAGCCCCACCAGGCACTGAACATGTCGACGGGGACAGACCCTCTGATAAAGGCAGACGGGCGGTCAACCGGTGGATGGGCACAGGGAGAACCAGAGAAACAGATGAGTGGAGGAACGGACACATGGGCACCGGGCAGCTCCCCCATCTGGAATGCAGGGTGTGAGGGGTCCGGGCCAGAAGGCTCAGCGGTCGGCACTGGAGCGCAGGTCGGTAGTGAGGGGATCGTGCTGGATTGTCTGGTGCAGCATCAAGGCCAGCAATCCCGCGCGGTTTGTCATGGCTGTGCGCACATTGCGCTCCTGCTCAAACAGCTCGTCCAGCTTGTACCACTGCCAAGAGAGCGGCAGGAGTCCTAAGCAGGAACAACTGAAGCCCCGCCTGCCCTCGGTCACATCCGGCATGGAAACCTACCACATGCACTATGAACCCACAGCGAAACCTACCACACGCACGCGCTCCAAGTCCACTTCCGCACGCCGCAGCTTCTCCCAGCAGTAATGGCGATTGCACTGGCGTTTGGGCAGGCGGCAGAAGTCACCCGTGAGCTCAAAGACATCACGTACAAGGGGGCACCCGCATACCTCGTCAGCTGGCACCTGCAGGGAGGCCGGGTTGGAGGGATGAATAATGGTGATAAGGGAGAATAAGAATGGGGGATCAAGGACGGAGAAGGGAAAGAATGGAGGGTTCAGGGAACGGTGAGGAGGCATGGAAAAGGGAGGAATGGAGGGTGAAGCAGCAGGGAAGGAGAGGAAAAAGTGAAGGAAAGGTGAGGTGAGGGAGGCAGGGATGAATGTGGGACAGTGAGGCAGGGAGGAGGGGCAAAATGGGAGGAGCTGAGGGAAAACCTTACTTTGGGGTCCCGTGAGTGCTCGGGGCACAGCACCTGGAGCCGCTTACAGTATGTTTTGCTCTGAGGATTATACACATCACAGAAGAGTCGTGTGGCCCTGGGGGTTTGGAATAGAGAGAGGGTAGTAAAGGGAGGTCCACCTGTCCTTGCCCGTATCCTGCCCCAGTTCCACACACATCCCACTTCTGACCTCCGCCTTAACCCCCCACCTCTCACTTCGCGTGGCACCCTCACTTACCCTTCAATGCGTGTGGGGTACATGGACCCAAAGGATGTCTGGCTCTCATACTGGAGGGATGAGCACAAATGGAGGGAACTGTGGATGTGCGCTGCATGCCCTCCCAAGACACCACCCAGACAACAAATCTGTCCCCCACTGGCCCACCGATGTTCCCACATGGTCTGCCCCCTCAGTCTGACCCCCAACCTTGGCATAGCAGCGCTCCATGTGGCGCAAGGCAACACGTGGGTTGATGGGGTGCCCACAGGAAACACAGAAGATCTGCAGGTCTGTGTCATCACTGTCACCCTCGTTGCTCTGCATGGGGTGGAAGGAACAATAAGGCTAGGAAGGACAAAGTACCGGCCCTGCCCCGCTGCGCCCCTGCTTGCTCACCTCCTCATCCTCGCGCACAGCCTGCTGCTTGGCACGCAGAATGATGGCCTCAAGCTCATGGAATCGGCGTTCCATTTCCTGAAGGCGAGTGCGGGCACTCTGCTGCTCTCGGCGAATGCGTTCCAGCAGCTTCTTGCCGTGCTCTTCAGCAATGCAAGGGCTCTGCTGCCACTGCTGGATGCGCTGGGGGAGGATCTCATAGATGCGGCTGCAGGGAAGGTAGCAAGCAACAGAATGAGTGAGGTGATCAGTGAGGGTGGGAAAATAGATGCATGACTAAATGGCAAAAGGAGAAATAAACAGGTGACTGGCGGAATGGTGGCTGGATGGACACAGGGGCGGATAGGTGGATGGGTGAGTGGGTAGTGGCTGTTTGGTGACTGAATGGTGGACAGCTGATTGACTGGTAGACATACAGAAGGCAGTTGTCAGGCCCTACCATGTACTTCCTGACTCCCCTGAACCCCTCAGGAATGACTCACTTGGCTGCCAGCTTCATGCCACAGTCATCTGAGCAATACTTGGAGCTGGGCTGGGCGGGGCGCACACAGCCGGGCCCCAGGCACTGGGGCAGCGACGCAGGGTCCTTGGCATCAGCCCTCTCTGGGTGTTTCCATTTATCCTTGTGCTTCTGCTTCTGCCGATGCCGCTTGTATCGCTCCTCCTTCTGTTAAGCAAGACAGGTCAGGTCAGGGTGGACTCAAAGTCAGCCCCAAACCCCAGACTCCTGCTCCATTCTAGCCTTTTCTGGCTCTTGCCCCATTCAGCCTCTGACCTCTGCCTCTCCCTCAACCCCACCCTCTGCCTTTCCACATCCATTTTACCCTCTCCATCACCTTCTTCTCAGACTTCTTCTCCCGACGCTTCACATGCTTCACTTTCACTGCCCTCTTCCGCAGCGCAGGGTCCAGGAATGGGGACTCTTCTGTGTCGCTCATCCAGGGCTGCAAGCAGGGCATGCACTGACCCACCTGCCCCGCTCATGACAACCCCACCACCTACTCATGTCCCATATCAGCCTTCCATACCCTCTGTCTCCTCATTACGGATACTCTCTGCTTCTGTAACCTCCACCCTTCCACCAGGGGATGCTCCTATCTGCTCACCAGGCCGTGGTCATCAAAGGCCCCTGCACAGAAGTCCTGATACAGGTCAGGATCCAGAGGTAGGTCCTCATCTGAGAGTGGCTCAGGCGTGGCTGTAGCCTCAGGAGGCTCCTTGACTGCTGATGATGCCACTGCTCCCTCATCTTCACGGATGCGCCCTAACTTCTGTGATGGCTGTGGCTGCTGTTGGGTGGGCAGTGGCCGGCGGGGCCTTGGCAGGGACTCTGAGGGCGTCACTGGTGAGAGCTGCGGGGCAGAATCTCAGGACTGGCCCTGACCGCCCTGCCCGCATGCCCCGCCCCACCCTGGGGAGCTGGACTCACCGAGGAAGGGAAGTACTTGTACGATTCCTGTGCCGGCAGGAGGAAGGCCCAGGTCAGCCCCAGGTGGATGGAGGGCGGCCTTGCCCTAGCCCCACCCACCTGGCCTGGCCTTACCTCCCCACACACACCTCCCCACTACCCCTTACTACCAGGAATGCTCGCCCCTGTCTTATCTGTACTGACGTGCATGACCACCTGGAAACACCTGACCCCACTCTGTCCACCCAGGGTTGGTGGGGGTTCTGCCAGCCCAGCATACCAGCTCATGCCCCATTCATCTGGACATGACAGGTCCCTTCCCACCTGTCTAGATACAGTCAGGCCCAATCCCACCTGGCTTAGCCATGCCTAGACTACACTAACCATGCATGGACCCACCAGCTCTCCCACACCTGACCCTACCCAGCTCTGTCCATGCTCACCCGGGCCCGCAGCTGGCACTGGCGCAGCCGGCACTTCTGCCGGATCTTGTTGGGGCCCCCAAACTTCTTCATGTCCCGACAGAAGTCACAGTGACCACAGTCCTCAGTGCGCCGACATGCCTCACACTCACCACACATGCGGGCTGACCGTTTGATCTGCTGCTGCTGCTGGTGATGCTGGAGGAGGGGGCCCAGAACAGAAATTATGGACCCAGGCAGGGCTGAAACGGAACCACTTTACACATCTACTCACTTTATGCAGCCACTCACCTGGCTGGGTGTGGCCACCAAGGGCTGCGGCGAGGATTTGTGGGGCGAAGCAGAGCCCCGAGCAAGCATGGCCCCAACCCCTGTCCCTGACCCTGCCCGGCGCTGCAGGTCTGGATCGGGGACAGGCCTCTTGCGCCCTCCACCCTCATCCCGGGGCTCACTGCCGTCCCGCTCATTGCCATCCCGTTCCCGTGACTTCTTGTGCCGATAGCGAATCTCTAGTTTGGGGTCTTTCTCTGTGGGGCAGAGAGTAGGGCCAAAGTGAGTGAGCACTAGAGGGCCTGAATGGTCCCAAAACCTCTTTCTTCCTCTTCTCTCCCTTACTATCCCACCCACCTACTCTGCACCCCTGTCCAGGGCAGAGCTGCCTCTTCCCGTGGAATCTTCTATTACCACTCACAATGGAGACCCCATTCCAGCTCACCACAGACGTGTATCACTAACCCCATTATGGCTCCTCCTCCTCCCTTGAAGCCCCACCTGCCTTCCCTGTCCATCCATGGCCCTCACCTCTGCACTCCCGGCAGTACCACTCCCGGATGGCCTTGGCCATCTTCTCAGTGATCCGGATGCAGTCCCCATGGAACCACTCATTGCAGTTGTCACACCCGCTGCGGAGGATGGGGCAGGCGGTGGAGATGTGAGGGGCGCGGCCCATAGGCCTCACCCCACGCTGCTAGTGTCTGCCCCGCCCACCTCTCCCGGGCTCACATCATGAAGCAGTTGATGTCCGGTTTGCGACAGATGCAGTAGATGGGCGCATTCTCTCCATTCTCCGACTTGCTGTCCTCCCCAGCATCTGGAGGCTCTGGGTCTGAACCATCTCCCTCCTGCGGGATACCCCCATTACGGATCCTTAAACAGCCCCCACCGTGGCGGCTTATCCCATTACAGCTCCACCATGGTCAGCAGGGATCCCCACTCTACCTGCAGATTTCACATCGGGGCCCCCCAAAAACCTCTCCATCACAGTCCCCACTGACCTCCGTCCCTTCCCCTGACATCCTATTACTTTGCTCCATACTTCCCATCACGCACCCACCGACAACCGCTCCCTGCGTCCACACTCGCTAATGGGGCATCGCGATCCTCCATCGTGGCGCCTCACAGACCCCGCGTAATTCACTGCGGACTTCCCATCGCGGTTCTCTACGCACCCCTCCCTGTTTACCTCATAGACCCACCTGGCACCCGCACCCACCCCCAGTCGCGGCTGTCCGCGGATCCCCGGACACGAACTCCTCGTCACGGCTCACTACAGACCACCCAATGTGACTCCTCACAATCCCCGATCACGGTTTCCCATGGAACTGCCACCCGGAGTCCCCACTAAACTTCTATTAAGGACTCCCCCACCGTGGCTCACCATAGAACTCCCAGATGGTTCATCATTCTGCCCACAGACTCCCGCCGTTCAGTCCACAGACTCCGGTTACGGCTCACCACAGACCCCTGAGTCGGCCGACAGACCCCACTGTTGCCAACCCCACCAACTTCCACCGCCGAACCCCTCCCTGAACCCGGTACTCACCATATCTCCGCTCCCGGCGCACTCCCTCGCGACCCCCGCCAGCAACCCGCGAACCTGCACAGACCACTCGGCGGCGTCCCAGGCGGTTGCAAAGGCGCCCACAACTACTTCCGCTTCTGGTCACGCCTCCCAGGCAGCGTACTCCTACTGCGCAGGCCCCGTGCGTCGTCTCCGCCGCAAACCAGTAGTTCGCTCGCCTAGAGCCCCCGAAGAACCCTCAGGCGCCGCCATCTTGATTATCGTATCCGTATGGTGGCCGAATCCACACGTTCGCCGGGAACATGGCAGCGCTCACATTGTGGCTTTCCCGAGGGCGTCGCCACCTTGTCAGTAGAGTCCGTACGGCGGCTGCTAGTACGGCCTGGACGTACAGGCAACATGGCTGCACCTACTGCGTGACTTCCTCATAGATGCCGTCATCTTGGAATCTGATTCCGTACGAGGGTCGAATTCGTACGTTCCTTGGCGACACATGGCGGCGACCTATTTGCGGATTCCTAAAGGGCGCCGCCATCTTGGTGGTTGATACCGTATATTGGCCGCTTGTCAGGCAGAGAGGTTCACAGGTAAAGCGGCCGCTCCCGATACGCTACCTGGATCAAGTTGTATTCATTCCTCCATTCTGTCTCTTTCCCCTTCCACATGTATTGATGGGGTGTCGGCAGGCTGTGTGCCTTGCGGGGCGGAGGAAACCAGTTCCTCTGTCGTCTCCGACTTCACCTGCCACCACTCTTTCCGGCTCTCACTCCTCCCACTTGTCATTCTTCTGCCAGGCCTGGCACGGTTCGGCTTCTATTTATTTTATTTTTATTTAAAAACAATTGTTAAACTAATATCAAATCTTATTTTAGTTCTATAAGCTGCACAATAAGCCTAAGCACAGTTTACTTATCCATTGATTTATTGTTTAGCATTTAGAACATTTTCAAATATTATTCTAAATAAAGTTGCAACGAACATTCTTAAACATAGATCTGTATGCTCATACCTGATTATCTCTTGTGAAATGTGATATACAAAACGGTGTCACTCTGGTTAACAGCTGTAAAATGGAGCCTGGAAGCCATTCTTTCTAATTTTTATTTATTTATTTACTTATTTTTTGAGACGGAGTTTCGCTTTTGTTGCCCAGGCTGGAGTGCAATGGCGCTATCTCGGCTCACTGCAACCTCCGCCTCCCGGATTCAACCTATTATCCTGCCTCAGCCTTCCGAGTAGCTGGGATTTCAGGCTTGCGCTACCACGCCCGGCTAATTTTTTGTATTTTTAGTAAAGACGGGCTTTCACCGTGTTGGCCAGGATGGTCTGGATCTCCCGGCTTAAGGTGATTCGCCAGCCTTGGCCCTCCAAAGTGCTGGGATTACAGGCGTGAACCACCGCGCCCGCTCCGCCTGGAAGCCATTCTAAGGACTCCTCGCAAACTTGCAAAAAGGAAAACAAACAAACCAAAACTAAAACACAATAGGAACTTGCCTGGAACCCTTGAATTGGTCAAAACTGCAATGACCACACCGTCCTGGAAACCAGCTATATTTCACCAGCGCTTCATCTCCTGAACAACAACCAATGAACTATGGACTGGTGCTGGCCAGCCGCCTCCACCAATAATAATTTCTTTAAAATAACTTGTGTAATCCTTAGCTTCCTTTCTATTTTTCTTAAAAAGTCCTACTCCCCTTCCTCTTTTTTGGAGTACAATTTGACTTCGAGCTGAATCTGTGTCTCCTGAATTGCAGTTCCTAATGCCCCAATAAACTCCTGCGTTGCAGCTTGGTCTCTTGCCTCTTCTTAGTTGACACTCCTTAGAGATAGAATTACTTTGTAATTAGCTCTAAATATTGTTCGACATGTTCAAATTTATAGGTGGTCATTGGTTTGGACAGAGCTCCTGCTCTAGGTCCCACCAAAATGGAGTCACTCGTGCTAAAGTTCCATGCCACCAAGCCAAAACTAAATTGTTTATCTGACCTTCCAAGAAATCAGGAGAAAGAGACAGAATAATAGCTAAATCCCCAAACAAGCCACTTTTAGCTTGAAAGCCACCTCTGCTTTAATCTTTATAAAAAAGTAACCTGAAGCAACCTGATGTTAACCAATCAGCTTAAAAAAAAATGTTCTTTTTCCTTCCTCCCACCTTACAAAATTCACTACTCTGCTATTTCCCAGGAGAAGCTCTCATTCTATTTTGTATAATGGGATCTGCCCCAATTCATGAATTGCAAGTAAAAGCCATTACATCTATAACTAAATTTGTTGCAATTTTGTCTTTTGATGGTTGATACATATATTTCTACCAGCAGTGTACGAAGTTTCCTTTATCAGAGCCTTATTAGGTTATTAGATTAGTGCGAACTTTTGTTGTTGTTGTTGTTGTTGTTGTTGAGAGGGGGTCTCGCTCTGTCACCTAGGCTGGCGTGGAGTGGGCAATCTCGGCTCACTGCAACCTCTGCCTCCTGGGTTCAAGCAGTACTCCGGCCTCAGCCTCCTGAGTAGCTAGGATTATAGGCATGTGCCACCACACCCAGCTAATTTTTGTATTTTTAGTAGAGATGAAGTTTTGGCCAGTCTGGTCTCGAACTCCTTACTTCCAGAGATCCACTCCCCTTGGCCTCCCAAAGGGCTGAGATTACAGGCGTGAGCCCCTACGCCCGGCCACTGCAAACTTGTAAATTCATCACCCCTGTCAGTAAAAAACTGTCAGCATTCACAGCCATTTTATAAATCCTACACATTACCACACTAATATAGTGCAAAAATCAGAAACCACATAAAATACATATTTAAAGGGATGAGATAAAAATAAATATGAATGTCTCTCCTATTTTCTCAAATACCCAGCACCATCTGAGATGCTGCCCTTGAGGAGCTCCCAATTTACACTATTGGTGCTCACTTTGGTCTGTGTGCAGTCTGGTAGGGACATGATGAAACAAACAAAGATTAGTATTTTGTCAAATAGTACATTTTTCGTACATCTAGCTTGATAACGATGGTAATAGTCATATTTTAAAAACCTTCTATTTGCTTAGTGGTTTGTAGTTCACAAGATACTTTCTTCTCACATGACAGCTTATCTGATCCTAATTGCCTTATACGGTGAATGGAGCAGGAGCCTTATTGTCCCCACTCTGCAGTGAAAGCAATTGAGACTCAGGGAGCCTAAGTCCCTTGCCAGGTCACACAGCCAGTAATAAAGGATCTGATATTAATAGTAAAATATTCCTACTGTGAGTGTTGGGCTGTGGGCTGAAATCAGGGCATAGACTCAGGGAACCCCCAGGACGAGAAAAGTTAGATAAAAAGGTTCATGAGGCAAGCACAGAATAGAGCAGATTCTGAAAGCTAAGGGTCACAGTGGACCTGAGTCAGGAAATGGATCAGAAGTCCAGGGGATCAGACACCAGGAATCAGGATTAGGATCTTAGGCGGAGAACAAACAACACAGAATGAGAAACCAAGTACAAGATCTCAGCACAGGTGGGGATCACAGGAAAGGGAAAGGAGAGCCCAACTCTACCAAAGATTCCTGGGAGGGGGACGGAAGTCTTCCAGACACTTCTTGCAAACAGCAAGGATGAGATAAATATCTGAAATTCAATGACAAAACCGTGCTTAGCACTTCAATTCTAATTCGCCACCAAGCGCAGACAAAATCAGTACTGGAATCATTCACTGAGGAATACAGAGTTTTGCTTTCTGAAGTTTTAGTTACCCATGGTCAACCACAGTCTGAAAATATTAAATAAAAAATTCCAGAGGGCTGGGCACAGTGGTTCATGCCTATAATCCCAGCACTTTGGGAGGCCAAGGAGGGAGGATCCCTTGAGCCCAGGAGTTCGAAACCAACCTGGGCAACATAGCAAGACCTCGTCTCTACAAATAATAAAAACATTTAGGCTGGGCACAGTGGCTCACGCCTGTAATCCCAGCACTTTGGGAAGCTGAGGCAGGTGGATCATGAGGTCAGGAGAGCAAGACCATCCTGGCTAATACAGTGAAACCCCGTCTCTACTAAAAAATACAAAAAATTTAGCTGGCATGGTGGCACGTGCCTGTGGTTCCAGCTATGCAGGAGGCTGAGGCAGGAGGATTGCTTGAGCTCGGGCCGTCGAGGCTGCAGAGAGCCATGATTGCATCACTGAACTCCAGTCTGGATGACAGAGCAAGATCCTGTCTCAAAAAAGAAAAAAAAAAGAAAGAAAATTCCAGAAATAAACAATTCGTAAGTTTTAATTACCATGCCATTCTGAGTATTGTGACGAAATCTCACACTATGCCATTCCATCCCACCTGGGATGTAAATTATCCCTTTGTCCAGCATATCCACCTGTTTGGTTTAGTTGAATTCTGTTTTTTGGACCAGTCTGAAAATCATTCTATTATAATGACTATTAAATTCATTTATTGACTTTGATATAATGTTCAAATAAACTCAAAATTGGCTTAAAAAAATCAGGGCTCAAGGTATCTATAGATGCCTAGACTCAGTGTGGATTAGGGCTGGGGTTAGGAGAGAGCAGAGGAGCGTAGCAGAGGGCTAGGTCCCATTGAGTTAGAATTGGGAAGTGACTGTGCCATATCATGATAGTCTAAAACAGTATGAAAAACAGACTGTGGCCCTCTAATCTTTCTGGCATTTTGTGAATGCGGGAGGCAGGGATTGGGTCAAGACTGGACCTTGGGCAAGAATCAAAGCAGGTATCACTCTCCAAATGGACATAGGGGCTGAGAGCAGGAACCAAGCCTAGAAGTCATTCAAATGCAGGTGAATTGAGTAAGGAGCAGGGAGGAGCCAGGATGGGTGACAGTGGTACTGACAACCACTTTGGCCCAGGAGAGAGAGTGGACTTGAGAATCAGCAAAAGCAGCAGCCAATGGGAGGAATATCATTTAGAGCCTGGGTCATTCTATGCAGCATCCCTAGTCTGGAAAGGACCCAGAATCTGAATGGAAAGGAACTATTGTAGATCTCTCATGAGGTTGATGTTCATTCAGGCACAGCCTCAGAATTTGCTGAAACATGCCAGAAAATAAGACCTAGGGATTCAATATCTATCTTATGTTTTCAATGACACTGAACTATTCTGTGGCTATTGCAATATCTTAAGTCATAGTTTTTAGAGGTATATTTTACAGTTCATGCTTTTAAGAACAAAGTGTTACAGCTTGAGTTTGATTCTAGCTTTACCAATACTAGCTACTTGACATTGTGCAGTTTAGTTAATCTTCTTGAGACCTTTTTCTCATCTACAAAAATGGGCAAAATTAACATCCTCCTAGAAAGGAGAAATAATAGAAATTATTATCTGAGAGAAAAATATGAATTAGGTCCAGAATGGGAACTCTCCAAATAGCGTCATGCAGTAAAAGATTAACTCAGGAGGCCTTGGTTGTTCAAAACTTCACATTCAAAAAAAAAAAAAAAAAAATCTGGTCTTTGGCTCTTGGGAGATAACCTTAAAGTGCTCAGAATTACTTGCCTAATAAGAATGTTCGGCTGGGCACAGTGGTTCACACCTGTAATCCCAGCACTTTGGTAGGCCAAGGTGGGTGGATTACCTGAGGTCAGGGGTTCAAGACCAGCCTGGCCAAGATGGGTAAACCCTGTCTCTACTAAAAATACAAAAATTAGCCAGGCGTGGTGGCAGGCACCCATAATCCCACCTACTCAGGAGGCTGAGACAGGAGAATTGCTTGAACCCAGAAGGTGGAGGCTGCAGTGAGCCCAGATCACGCC